GGCACAGTTCGGCTTGGAGGGAGCATTTTGCACTTTTGCTAGTTCCTTACATTAGTTCTTCACAGGGCTCACCTTGGTCAGAACCTGTGAATCCCTGTGAAGGAAATGATGCGAGCGAATCACTTTGTTCTTAGGAACGTACAAGCTTTGTGCCCCCACCAAGCCAAACTGCGTTCCTCTCAGTTCCTAGTATCCCGTCAGTTCCTTTTTGGATCAAACCACTTTCTAGGTTTCATGCTACCCCATGAAAAAGAGATATTCAAGTCATACAATGGCTCCTCGCCGAAATATTGGATACCGGCCAACTGGGCACTTGCCATGACATATCAGGCTTGGAAACATGGTTATATCGAAAGTGCTTACTACAAAGTTACGCTTCAAGAGGTGAGAAACGTTGGGCAAAGAATACCTCTCAAGGGAAGGAATATAGGACAACTTCTTCATCTCTCATGAAATTCAAGACTTATAGTTCTCAAAGTCACACTCTGTGATTGGCGCAGGAGCCAGTCTTCCTCTCAGGTAGGTAATCTTGGTCTCAAACCGCAAAGGAAGCGAGCCGCAAAGGAAGCCAGCTCTTCGATGGAGGGGATCCATCAGGTGCCGGCCCAGGCTGCCTCTGCCCCCCCCCCGTATTCTAGTCTCTCTACCGTACTCTCACTTATCTTCTCCACATTGCCCATGCGGATGATCTTGGCCATCTTATGCCCTTCCCCAGGGTCGTGAAAATGCAAAAAGCAGTGCCGTATTCAGGGCGAGCTGCACATTTCCTCTCCACTACAGAACCAACTGGCACCTAGGCTTTGGTTCTTGAACCCCATAATTTACGAACTGCAATCGCGGAATGTGACAACCGCCACTATCGTACATTTTTCAGGAAATCAAAAAATGGCGCACAAATATGGAATGGGTCTTCAACTACGATTGGGTGCCCCTGCCCCTCATGTATCCTCAGGTTTACGATGATTTTCAATTTTCTCGCTTTGACAACTAAAACCTAAAGAACTTGTTCAGGTCGTTTGTTTGGCCGTACATTTTTACTTCCTCGTCTGCATATTCGCGCGTCAACAAATCGTGGTTGAACATGAGTTCAAAACTGAGGTACGGTATAGAAAAACGAACTTCGACATAGCTAAATAGACAGGGTACAACATGGTGATGAGTCAAATGACGGTGTCTTTAGTAACACCTTACCCCCCCCTTCCCCCTTTACCTTCCTCTTTCGGTACTACCCTACTCCTGAATATCATCAAAAATGGGGTGAAATGGGGAAAAGCACCAATAACAGGCACCTTTGATAGGCGGAGTTTGCTACAAAAGCTCATAATTTGGCACTGTATTAGTCAGGAAGTGGAGGGAGATTGGTGGAGAAGAGCAACATTAGAAAGAGTTAAGGGACTCTGAGAGGTGCTCCCACGTATTCACAGTGGGCGGAGCGTGCTCTTGAGCAGAAAGTCCCTATTTTAAAAACTGGAGTTCCGTTTCAGAGCATTCCAGAGACTGGAAAAGGCACAATGCTGGCCAAATATACCATTAATGACCAATTTTCAAACGAATCAAGTCCAAGTTTGGCAGTAAGGGGTGAATAGTGTGATAATCGCATTCATGATTTTTCCAGGTGGATACGTACTTTCCAATAATGACAGCATTACAATTCGTATTTTATATGGGATGGATGAAAGTGATTGAAGCCGTTATCAATCCTTTGGAGAAGATGATGACGATTTTCGAAACCAATGCTCTCATAGACCGAAACATCACGGTGAGTCCACTGGGTCCTGCCGAGATACCGCCGATTCCAT